ATTTTTGTAGTCTACCTGAAACTGTCTTCTTTTTTTTTGGCTTGCTTCCCTCGGTCGGCTATCTACTATTTGGTGCTGCCAGTGGGCCAGGGACGTCACATTTCTCGTCTTCATTGATTATGTGTTTGTCTGGCTACTGGCATCCGTGGCTGTGGCTATGGCTATGGCTGTTGATACTCGGTTCTTTGAAGGTGTCTTGTTCAATTAACGACAAACTCTTGTCTTTGTCGAGACTGCAAACTTTTGGTGTGTTGTCCTAGGCCTCGTACCATATCTCCTAGGCATCTGTCGTCTGAGTAATGTCTTTTCTTTGAAAGTAGTGAGCCTTCACTCCTTATTTCTTGCTAGTTAGCGACACCTAGCGTTACGTGGCAGTTTCCTATTGGATATCCAATGAACCCCAAGTTAGACCTCGTAAATATCTTTGTGATAGAATTTGATTCGGGCCCAAACACCCAAAAGGGCCGTCAGGCTGGAATATAAATAGTAGGTAAAAAAGCAGTTGTACTAGTGGGTAATCACAATTCATCCAGGAAGTCGTCGCGGGTCGTAAGAGTAAATGCAGATTAAAAAAAAACAAGAACCAGCAAAGGAGATGGAATATTATGCAGACGTATGAAGCAGTCAAGCATCAATGAAAGCGACCGAGACAGTATTAGTAGACGCTCCCTTGAACACTCTGATCTTGCCTTTGTTGCTCCTCTAAGGATAATTCTTCAATGTGGAGATGAGATGGGGAATCTGTTGACGAAAGTTCTTGTCCTCGCGCCTGTGATTCCGAGTGGCTGGATGACTCGTCTCCGTCGCCCAGAATATTGGCCATGCGGTGCTCGGATTGGTCGGTAGAATACGAAACATGATGGGCATGATAGTGGTGATGCTGATGGGAATGATGCAGACGAGCTTTCTTCAATTTCTCAGTTCGATTGCCACTCATCTCGTCATCGCCGTCATCCTCGAGCTCCTGAGAGGGAGCCGACTGTTGAGTTTGCTCGCTGGACGGAAACTCGAAGTGTTGCTGGTTCGCATGAGACAAATTTCCAGGGGTGAGGCTGGGGGAGGTTGGTGCCACATGCCGGTGGGGGGCGTGGTATTCGCCCTCGTCGTCAGATGGGGCGAGGCTGTTTGCTCCGCTCATGGAGCCTCCACCGTCACGGCCGCCAAGATGGAGGAGGGCGTACTTTAGGTGCGCTGACGACGAAGACGTAGCTGTTGATAGGTTGGGGGGATGGTCTTCGCTATTGCGATTCAGCCCGTGGAAGTTCGGTCGTTTTGTGTGCGATGGATTTACGGTTGACCGATCTTCTGGGCTGGAATCGTATTGCTTGGTGGTGCTTCCGTTGTTATCGTCGCGAAGTGCATGCTGCGGGTTGGAGGCATGACGAGCGCTAGTCTTGCGGCTGGTAGCATTCTGGGCCGAACCATCTTCCGAGGAAGACACCACCTCGTCGATGGATATTGACTTATGAAGTTTAGAGCCAAAACTGCCAACCTGATCATCGGCATGCTTTGGTTGAGCGTAGCTATGCTCGTGACGCATAGAATTCAGTAGATTCGCTCGCAACGATTCTTTTCCCTCTGCAGTCATGCCATGAGTACAGCCGTCGGGGCAGCCGCCCCACTTGCGCCGAATTGGGATGTGGCCTGTTTGGCCGACATGACCAGCAGGCGAAATGGGCGCAGGAACCTGCCCTTTAGATGCAGTTTCACGCTCTCGATCTTTTCGCAGATCTGACCAGGTGCGAAGTTTGTTCTGTAGTATGTATTTGCCGTTTTCTGGGTTGTGGGTCAGGATCAAGAACTCGCAATGGTTGATGTTACGAAGGTCCTCAAAGTATTCCACGCTCCAGTGATACCACTTCATGAGAAATACTCGTGCCATGAGACCGTGTGTCACAAGCACACAGACGTTTGCAAAATCATCCTCGCCAAACTGGCGCCAGAGGGACTCGTTGAATCCACTCACTCGATCATATGCATCCGCTGCAGATTCGCCATTGGGAATTCGGTAGAAGAAATGACCATAGTCTGCCCGCTCCATCCACATGCGCTCCATCTCTGTGGAACATGGCTGGAAGTTACCGAAATCCTGTTCTCGTAGTCGTGGTTCTTCATAAACTTTGATTGTGTGTCTTTGGAAAGGCGAAGGGGCGGGTGTATCAGCTGTTAGGGATTCAATAATTCCCTCGGTAGTCTCTCTTGTCCGCCGATAAGGGGAGGTAAAAAAGTGGAGTTTGTCGTCGGGTTGGAGGAGGTCACGTAGTCGTCGGCCTGCATCTTGGGCTTGTCGATATCCTTCAGCAGTGAGTTTCACACGGTGGTCTGGAATGGTCTGATGAATGTCGCGGTTTTTGTTGCCTTCCGACTGTGCATGGCGCACTAGAATAATCATCTATAAGTAGTAAAAAGGCCAGTTAAAGACAAAACACATCTCAATCACTCCTAAATGGAGACTTACCCGTGGCTTCCCCATGGTGGAAGAATCATGGGGAATGTGATTGCGAATGCGGGGGAGGGGCTAGTAGAAGTGTCTTGTCTGCAGCAAGAAGGACGGCGAGATGAAAAGAAAGGGAGAAGCCACTGATCACCGAGATATCCGTCTATCCAAAGCGAAAAACAGTTTGGAAGAGAGAAGAGTCCAAAAAAGAAAAGAAAAAGTTCATTCCAGTCGGAGATACAACTGACCCGCACGGGCCAATGGGCGGGTGATCCATTCAGCGCGCCTCTTTTACGCAACTTCCGAATAGCATCAACCCGCCATGGCCGACTTGCTGGAGCTACTCGCTCCACATCTAGATCCTACTCAGTCGCATGATGTAACTACCGACAAATATCTCACTCGCCTCTCAACCTTGTCACTTGAAGCCCTCCAGACCACAGAACCCCCATCGCTCGCCCAATCCTCCCACTCAACTCTTCTGTCTCTTCAAGCCCTATCGAACCGTTCGCACCGGGCGTTTGTCACCTCTGCTGATAATTTGTCCACACTATGTACATCTGTCCCACAGTTGACCCGCGAGGCGCAACAGCTACGCGATACTATCCCCAAGCTCGACGAGGCGGCCGTTGGGTTCTCCACCAAATACAGTAAAGTCAAAGACAATGCCGCCCTAGAACGACGGAAGAAAGCAATGCAGCTTTCTCGCAATGTTGATCGGTTGTCAGATATACTGGAACTACCAAGTCTGCTGTCCAAAGCCGTCTCCGCGGCCTCAGTCAACTCCGGTACCGGTGTCTCCTCTACAACCTACTCCTCTGCACTCGACCTGCATGCACATATCAAGCGACTACAAACATTATACCCCGAATCACCATTAATTCGAGATGTTGCATCACAGGCGGAGGATGCAATGAAGGAGATGACAAGTAACCTGATCACGGGGCTCCGAATCCAGAACCTGCGGCTAGCAGCTGGAATCCGAACTGTGGGTTGGCTGCGGCGAGTGGCCCCGGATCTAGATATGATACAGAGTGACGGGGCAGTTGGGACGGGAGAAGGCGCTCTTGGGGCCATCTTCCTGGTCTGCAGACTAGCGCATTTGGTATCAACGCTTGAAGCTCTGGATCCCCTCCGCGAGCTCGCGGACCAAGAAACCCAACGGAGACTTGGCGGCAAGAACAAATCAGACATGACCTCGTGGTCTGGCGGTCAGCAGACTGACCGCTACTTGAAAAGATACATTGAGATCTTCCGTGAGCAGAGCTTTGCCATTGTCTCGCTCTACAAGAATATTTTTAACTCCGAGCAATCCGAATCCGAGTTTGCGATCTCGGATTTACGAGGTGCAGATGCCCACTCCAAGGCCAAGTCAAAGCCAGCACCCTCAGATGACCCCTTGCAACGTCTCCCCCCGGCTTTGGCTACTTTCCCCATGCACCTCGTGCAACTACTCACGGATACAATGCGCTCCTATCTTCCCAACGTCCGAGATCGGAGTTCAAGGGAAAGTCTTCTCACTCAGCTTCTGTACTGTGCCGCAAGTCTTGGTCGCCTTGGCGGTGACTTTGGCATGATCTTGACCGAGCTTGGTGGGGAGGAAGATAGCGACGAGATGGCCTACGAATGGGAGGAGGTCATGCGGAAGCATCGAGCCTTGGCAGGGCGTCTGGAGCAATTGACCAGTCGGGTGCCAGTAAATTAACATTCATATACCCAAGCAGCAGTACAATTCTATTCCAAGATGGCGGTGGCACCTGGCGGGGTCTGTGTATAATAGAACATCATGAAGCGCTCTCATTTTCTTGGCCTTTTTCGGCGGACTGTCTAATTAGCACTACCCACATCCAAATGCATCTATTTACTATATACCTCATTTGCCCAAGGTTCTAGCTACGCTAGCAATGCTTCATCGCACCCTTATCTGCACAAGTTCCGGCGCCCCAGCCCAGTGCACACGTAGAGAGCATAGCGACAGATCGATGGGCACCTTATAGCTTGAAGCTACGATTCTGATATTCTACACCCCCAAACAGTAATCTGAGAGGCAGAGGTTCAAACACCGTAAGAACACTCGATACTGGACGACAACGAACTGCAACAAAGAAATGTTCGCCAAAAGACGCAGCATGATGTCGGGTTATTTACTTTGTAACCTGAACCTAGAGTATTCCTACACAAAATCTGCTGGTCTTTGCATTCCCGATGGCCACTTTCGATAGGCTGTTGTCGATCACTATCACATCTGCAGAATGCGGGGACGACAATAATTTTTTTAGTCAGGCTTTGCATGCCGTTCTGAGTCACATCGGGTGGGTTCAGACAAGATTTCTTTTGTACGGAGTGACAGCAACCAGCAAGAGGCCGCGTGAACCAAACTGTCTCCGGAAATCATCGGGCCTACTGTAGTCTTGCCCACAATTGGTTAGCCTTCATTTTACCGAGTGACTCACCAAGAGATGAAGAAGTCAGCTAGATTGCAAGTCTATATAAAGTGAACACTTGCAATCAGTACAGACATTTCACCTGAGACTCTTGCATAGTGGTCTTGCTGATTGTCCAAATGGTCGTCCACTATAACCCGCTCACCAAAGAGCCCTATCTTCAACTCCCAGCACCATGTACCAACATCATCATGACCCCACACCGTAACCACCAGATCGAGGAGGTGTCTGCTGCAATGGGCGAATTTCTCAATGATTCACGGGTGTACGACTGGCTGCAAGGGCCCCCCTACCCGTTTCTGCCCGAGCACGGTGCCGACTGGGTCAAACAGAAATTAGCAGAGCAGGCGGAAGTCGTGTCTACGTTGCAAAAAGAATTTGAAACACGGGAAATTCAGCAGGGGGACGGTTCCAATGGCCCAAAGGAACTCGAGTTGTTTGATAGATTCCCTTTCCTTGGCATCCGCGAAGTAACAGAAAGAGATCCTGCGACCGGCGTGCCACTTCAAGATGTCTTTATTGGAGAATTGACACTCACGCGATATGCGTTCCATGAGTTGCAATCCGATGGCTCAGCGCTTGCGCTGGCACAGAAACACAATGATGATCTGCCTGCGGGGCACCAGGATATCGTCTGGAGTATAGGATGTATGGACACCCCAGTGAGACTCGAGCTCAACCGCTGACAAAATTGACAGATTATCTCTCTCCCGCTCAACACGGCCGAGGAGTGATGAGTCTTGCCGTTCGAACTGCTCTTCGAGACTGGGCTATCCCTCGGATGAACCTTCAGCTTCTCAAAAGCAGCTACTTTGTTGGGAATCAAGGGAGCCGGAGGGTCCTGGAGAAGAACAACTTTGCGGAGATTGGTACCTGCAAAGACTGGGCTCCGGCAAACCCAATCAAGGGACGAGGCCCGATGTCGATGATTGTGGTGAAGTGGAAAGGCCTTGGGTAGGTCTCAAACTTCATTTCACTACATGTAGTCATCGATAATGATCTAAAACACCACGTATCAATTTCATCAAAATCGACAAGCTACATGATCATGGGATGATCCCAATGAAAACTGCCGTGCAGTCAGAACCCCAATGTATCGTCATCGCATAGTCACCAATGTTTTCTACCTTCGCTTAAACAAGGCCAGGGATCCCCTTCAAGCTAGAAGGATCTCCCTCTCCTACTCCGTCGTGGAGATACTCAGTTGTACTTTATCACATTTCCTCTATGATTTTAAGGACTCACCTGTGCGATTTGTAGATGATCTTCCCGATCTCAACATTACGCAGCCCATGTATGTACGACAGTGGAGATCAAGCGACCTGATAGCGGGTCTCATCCTCTCTGAAGAAAGTACTTTGGACAACGTACAGGTTACAATTCCGGGACGGAAAAAAAGGACCATGATTCCCGAGAGAAATGAAATGGGTCAATCGACGTATCAAGTTGGGGCATGAGTGATCACATTGTGTTAGCGTTGACCCGCTTATAAGCGAAAGCCGAATGTCTTCCCCAGAGATTGGCCATTGGTCCGGCTGGATCCACTCTCTCTCGTCAGTGCCGAAATTCCCACGGAGCACTCGATCTCAGGTTTTCAGCTTGTATGAAGGAGATCGGGTGGGTCTTGAACCTCAAACAGATTCATGTTCATGCCTGACCTATCACCTGTCTATGTATCATGCACCTTCAGGGTAGGTCACAAAATTTCGATAGCTTAATGTGGCTTTAAGTGGCTTCGTGTAGTTCTTGACTCGGTTCAAGGCTAAGAGACAAGTGAAATCAGCCCCGAGATGGTAGCTGACAAAGACATCCCGGGACTTGAACCAAATTGACTAAATTGACTAAAAATCTGTAACGCGAGCAACAAGTATTTTTAGTACCCGGGAAGATCAAAGTCCATGCGGAGATGCGAAGTACGGGGTAGGGTTGTTTCTAATGAGGCATGCACGTTTGCATTTCTGTGGCCGAGACGAGCCCAGCCAACACAGCTGACTTCTTCAGATGCATGTTTCTCCTAGTCTTGTATATGGATACACAGAAAGTGGTCCAATCGATTGAGATTCGTTTTCAAAAAGCAATGTTTGGAGTTAACTGCTTCTAGAGCATTCGGAGCTCAAGCAGCCAACGAATACGTTTCATCACACATCACTAATTTCCATCCTTGCGCGGGACTTGTCAATATTTCGGTAGAGCAACAGAAGGAAAAGAAAGAAAAGAACGATTCGCTAGGATCAAGTTAGGGCAGTAGGTCCGCGAGGGAGAGGGATTAGAAACCATTCTAGAGAGACCATTCCATTAGACCTTGTACTCTGTGAGCCTGATCTGCTGGAATCTCCCGAGATTTTAGCCTGCAAATCGGCTAATGAGTGCCTGGGTCGAGTAGCAAGGATAAAAAGTAATTGGAATGAAGCGAGCTCAAGATTGCGCGTAGCTGATCCTCTGGAAATAGCAGGGCGGACCCACCAGCTTGCATGGTGTGGGTGCATGATTTGAATAGCGCCGTAGATCGTGAGAAAGATCCTCCTTGGCATCTTCCAGTATATAAATGGCTCCGTCCTCTAGGTTCTGTCCACCCACAGATTTATATACAGTTCTCATTCACGATGCATCTCTCCACGATAAGTGTGCTTCTTTCGGTTGCGCTAGCAGACGCTGCGCCCTTCGCGGCTGCAAGTCACAACACAGACAAGGTCAGCCCTAACATCCACGATACCCCCCAATGTAATTTGTGAACTTTCGATACTGACACTTCCTAGGAACCGAAGTTCCCCCAAAGATGCTATCCAGACCCCTGTAAAGGAGTGACCCAAGTGAACTCTACTGCTGTTTGTGGTGACCCACGACTGGGTCCCAAGGACCTTCCTATATTTTTCCCTCTCTCCAATGAACTTGAGACCTATGCTCGCTTCGGCGAGCTCTGCCCAATCGAGTTCCTGGAGAAATGGACCCTGAATGCTTCCGACCCGAAGAGTTACTGGATCTATCCAGATAATGACGGATTTGTCACAACATCCGGGAATGAGTCCATCCTAGGCAACCTCACACTCAACGTGGGTCAGAGGCTTGATCGATTCGGGCCTGAAACTGGAAAATTCCTGGCACCTCTTGGGGCTCCATATATCCAACGGTCTCTGCCTCCATCCAATCTTTTCGCACCCCCCGAAAGTAACATCCCGTACAATTATTATGTCTACGAGGTGACCAAAGAATTTGATGTTCTCTTGGGACCCATTGCGCCTTGGTTTGAGCAGCCCGGATTTGGATCCCAGCTTGTGACTCGGTCCAGCGTGGTGGATTTGTTGGAAGGGGGATTCCTGAAAAGACTACAATTGAAGGACTATGACGAAGCTGATGAATACTCTGCGGGGTATCTGCCTGCTCCCAGGAAATCTTCCAGATAAGCATGTTTCGCGGCCAGATGGGGTGTTGTTTTAGAATATTGGGTTCTCTTTCCTGTGACATAGACGAGTGATGCTTTTTTTTTAATGACCAAATGCAATGCCACCAAGAGTTTTTAGAGCATTTATGCCTTGCGCCTCTGCGAAGTGACCGAATTAAACGAATGATCTAGAGTCGTAGAGGTACAAGGGCAGACATCGAATCCCAAGAAACCCCCCCTCCTACAAGGGTACTTGGCTTCATTAGGCGAAGGGGAACAAAACCTGATGATGAGAAAAATGATTTGATACAATGAAAAGGCTTGCACATGTGTGATTTCAAGCACCTCGCTCCTTATCTCAGATCGGAATGGCATCACTGACTTTCCGATTTAGTTTGACGGGGTATCCCAGCATGCTACTATTTGTCAGTCGGGGAATCAAGGAGGTACAGGACGGCAGGACATACTCCTTTCCAGTTTGAGTGCAGCCGCAGCCACAGAAGATCGATAGGGGGTAACAGACGACCTAACAATATCGTTTTGTCATGAGCCTGTAGTCCTGCAAGAGGGGTCTTCCATCGCACTATATTTACGTACCGCTGCTACAATGGTAGTGAGAAACCCTGTTCATTTCGTCAGGCATGGGCTCATCTTCCAGCACTTCACACCGAAGAACCGAACTTACCGAGTGTCGGGCCAATTACCTTGCAGTTACAAGGGTTCTGATCAGTGCCGCATTGGAAGCAGATAGGGAAGATCGGAAAGAAAGGGACGTCACACATCGTATCGAATTGGGCGGAGCTGCTGCGTCTTGAACTAGAAAATGTAGAGAGATGTCCCCAACCTCCCTACAAAAGAAAGGAGCTTCCTCGGGAGATTCACGGTTGCATTGTAGTCGTAAGTTTAGGATTCTATCATGATGACGCAGATGAGATCAAGATCCCATTTGTTTTAGGTAATCGTGGGGAGCTTCACTTCTCATATTGGGGGTATTTGAAGATCTAATTAAAAAGGTAACCATACCAGCGTACACTATCGACCTGATCAAAGTAGATCAAATCGGGTTATAGTTCCAGATGTCGGGGGCTTACATTCACTTCCCAAAGTGCTGAGGCTGATCCAAATGGCTTAGCAAGTGACTATGTCACATAGCAGCCACCGACACAGCCACGATGGGCGCCATTTCCCCTCGAATCAATCTCCAATCTCGACTCGAAAGGACAGTTGAAAATCAAAAAGGTCTCAAGTCCCTGGGTCTCAGGCTCTTAAATGTAGCCTTTCCCCCCTCCCCCCCGGCAGGATACAACGAGTCTTCCAAGAAAACTCCTGATTCACTCCAGGCAGCAACCGGGCCTAGAACAGACCCCAAGGCAACTATTACAAGATACCGATGATTGGCATCTAGTCCACTGTTTCTTTTGATCTGCTCCCATTTTTAATCCCTTGATTCCACCCGCACTGATCTTCGGACTGTCGATTCCCCAAATTCATAACCCCGGTGTCCGAATACCAAACATTCCACCATGGGCACCCGCAATCTCCTTCCCCTCATCCTGCTCCTCGTCTTTGTTGGCATCGTTGCCGCGGTCGGGTTCATCGTCTACAGCGTCGTGAAAACTGTAGGCCAAACCACACGCGAAAGGATAGAGCGCAAGAATATTGCTCTCACCAGGGAGGGCATGAAAGTGCAAGTAAAGGAGATCGAAGACGAGGCCTACAAGGACCAGACCCAAAGGTATGTTTGGGCTTGCTGGTTTCGGTTCCCCGCCCTTGCTTGTTCGCATGGACTGACCGGATCTTCCCCCCCCCCCACGTGTTCTCGTCAACATGTGGAACCATACTTCCTTCCCCGCTTACAAGAGCCGGCTGTGGGATATGGCGGGCTCGTCTTCATCGGAGCAGAAGAATGCTGAGAAACGCAAGTAGTATGTCAGACCTGCATTATCGTTTGGATTCTTTTCCCGGTTCGACTGGACTAACGTTGTTCTGCATCAGGGTTCGCAAGGAGCACTCCTCGCTCGCGATTGATAGCTAGCATATGAGAGGACCGATTGAAATGACGCCAAAAAATGAACTCTATTAGGGCTAGACATGGCCGCCTACGACGGTGTACCCTAGAAAGATTTTACCCACCTCCACAGTGGATCTGCTAGCGTATTAATTAGTACACACCTTCTGATGACAAGTCCTGCGACAGTCGATTGTTTTACCCGCATGCCGTCAATTTATGTCTCTACTTGCATTTATAGAGTATCTCTAAAGCTTCAATTAAATTGAATGTGCGTTGGTTGGGTAGTTTATGTCTATGCAGGATTGGGTGAAAGTGACATAACATACAATCGGGTGTGAAATACAAGCCAACCTCTTATTTGGTTAAAGATTCGCCTACCTGTTTCGAGCCCCCTTTGGGATGGAGTATTATCATGGCGGAGACAGGGTTCCCCGTTCGGTTGATGCAACCGCTAGTACTGCCTTGTCTTGAGGTTTGCATTTCATGGATTCAGGCTACGATGGCAAAATTGAAGATGCAAAAGTCACGACGAGAATGAACGCCAAACCCCTCAATCAACTCTCTTCGTCCGCTGAAGCCGCTCAGCAAAACTGAGACAAAAATGCAATTCTGAGCCTGGGAAACGCTGTGCAGAATTTCAAAGACAAGGAGGAGCAAGGCAGTGTGGTATTGGTGGCAAACCTGAACAGCAAAAGCAAAATGAAAAGAATGAAGCCAAAATTTCCGGCTCAGGTTACTGAAAAGTCAGCTTTTGAATACCTCACGCAAAGATAGATCATACTGCTTTTTATCTTCCACTTTTTGTTCAATAAAATTAAACGTGTTGAATGTCCAACACGGCATAGTGATGACCCAAAACGTCGAGTCATCATTGTGAGCCTTGGAAAACCTCGGCTGGATATGATCATAGAAACTCTTGAATAACGCCGTAGGACTGTTCAGCGCCAGAGAGCACCAAAATGGTCCCCTTTCCCACCCTTGTTGCAAAATAGGATACAGTAACGGCGATGATGTTATTGAACACTTCGATTCTTCTTCTGCCAATGCCTCCATGAATTCCGCATGAACACTTTCGTACTCATCCAGGCTGATGGAGTCGATGGCTTGGTTTGTCAACCAACATGGTGGGTGAATCATCTCCAGGGGCCGAGAGCAAGCCCATTCTAGATCGATGAAATATCTGATGTTCCACTCGTCGTCAACAAATATGTTGCCTTTGATGGATATCAGTGAGGGCCAGAAAGAATGGACCGCGAAGAGATTCTCGGCGAAAGTAACAAGGCCAGATGCTCCTCATTACCATCAATGCCGATGTTTGATAGAAACCATCCTCAAGATGACTGACTGCATTGGGTTGATGACATAGGCGGCTTTCATGGAGCGAGAGAAGATCATTGATATATGAATCAACAGAGATGTGAGTAACCACCCGTGGAATATCACTCGGTATCTGCTCATTTTCCAATTGGTGAACCTGGAGAGTGAGCGGCCTATTATTTAATCTTTGGTACCCTTTGTTATCCAAGATGAAAGAACCGATCCTTGGCAATGGGGTGCGTGTTAGAGAAAGTGGAGTACGAGAAAGGCCACGAAACAGATTCATTCGTAGCCGAGCATCGTGACGGCATTCCTCCCACAATTCGGAAAGCATTTTGCTTCGGGATCGCCCAATGGACTCAATTAAGATGTAACCTGCACTCAAAGGGGCAGGCACCTTATTATAAATTTGAACAAATCGAGAAGGGACTGCATAGCCTAGCCATGCCAAAACCCACCGGCCGACTGTTTCCATCGACCGTGTGAGGATAGGCAGATTATCAAGAGAAGTGAACTAGATTGATAAACATGAATTCCACAGTCATAATAACACGGATACGTACAGTTTGGCCACTAGCAAGTCCGAATCCATGTAGATGTGGAATAGCAACATCTGGGCAATTCGTCTGGAGTCATATGTGTCCCTGCTTCACAAGGCATCTTCTCGTCGGCATTTCCAGGATAAGGGACCTCCCCGACCCGAGATGGCAAGGGAAATCGTAAAATCAGTTGGATTCCCGGTGTTAGGCCTTCACTATCGGTGTCGACTGGGATGCAAATAATATATCCCACGCATCCACTGCTCAGGATTCGCGACGTGACATTTGTCTGCCGAATTCAGACCAAGGTGTTGAGCAACGATCGATCTGATTGAGTCCCGATTCTGGTCTAAATAAGATAAATAATCTGTCTCCTGCTCCCAGTAGCCCAGTTCATGAAGAACATTTCTTTCACACTCTTTCGCGGCAGAGTATGTGATGCTGCCATTAATAAGGGGACGAGGCTTGAGAGTAGCTGATGAGGAATCATGGACTACAGAAATTTTTCAAAAACTCGGATCTAGGACCATGTGCAATGCAATTGCACGCAGCGGAAATAAACTCACTAGCCTGACATCGCTGGCGGTGGGTGGTTAATGTTCACTTCAAAAAGGGGTGTTGTACGGTCGATGGGGAAACATTTTTCCTGTCCGACTGAAGCAAGGGGAGAAAGACGAGTCAGGACGTAGCAGCATGCTTTGCCACTTGGGACCCTTGGTGATATCTCTATAGGGTGCCGGGGAGTCCTGACTTGGGACCAAGACCGATGGAATTTAACCAGCCTCTGAAATTTTGTTTTACCAAAAATGGAAGGGCCGGTTGCTTATAAACGCCCGATCTATTAGCCACGTCTGCCATTCCAATCTAACACTCGTATATAGGGGCGTTGATGATAGCTATTAGATATCTGGGCCGATGTGGAAGAGTTGGTGGAGTGAAGGGTTCTGTATTAGCTACGGAGCACAAAAGAGGTTTGCTTTTGACTCTATATCGGCAGTGCCACATTGGGTAAGTGGAGGATATAAGTTTATTGAAATGTGACCCAACTGTAAGCGGCCTTAGTTCAAGTAGAAACATGATTGAATCAAGCATGCCTGCGTGATCTACAGATGATCAATTCCTATAATGATAGAGGGTGTATCATATAATTCTCCAAAGACCTGTACTGCCTGATCTTGGATAGATATAAGTTCAAATGTGATAGCCAGAGTATTGGCGGACATCCCTGTCTGAACTTCATCGCCAAACTGATAACATTTTTCCATGTCCTCTGCTAAGACAGCCGATGTTTGAAGGTCGTACTCCGGTATATCTACATAGATCATTTGCTTTGTTGGGAATCCTCTATTATACCTTACCCAATGGAACGAAATGCAGTTGAATAACTACCCACCCTTTTAGAAATCGTTATAGAAACTGTGGTCGAACTTCTATGGAATATCTTTCTATTGAGAAAGATACTGGAGAAAAGGGGCTGCCTAATAGTATATTGATAAACTCCTCTACGGTAGAATTTGTCATTTGCTAAGCTTTATGCTCTAACAATATACCTTAAACGAGCCTTCACTCCTTTTGGGAAAGGCTCGACTAAAACGCTTGATCCCTTTTGACTAGGAAAGGATTGTTTCCTCCCTAAGCTTCACTACAAAGCGATTCTAATCTAGGGTCCAAGTTAATCTCATCCTCGAGGAACCGGTATGTTCTGTATAGGCCACTTCAGCACCTACGCTTGATTATTCGGGTGGTAGAGTCGGACTTTTTTTCCCCCTCTATCGAGGCACAAATCGCTACCGACGAGGAGTTTGCCCTAGATAGCGTAAAGCAAAATTGAAACAAAGCGCCCTAAAATAGCTAGGATAGGAACTGTAGCTGCTCTTCGACCGATAGAGAGGGAAGTTAATCGTGGATAATAGAGAAAAATATCTTGGCACTGCTTTTTGAAGGAAACCGACCGGCCCTGTTGATTGAACGATTAGCGATAGAGACCCTGTTCATTTTTGGACCACTGCCGCCTATCTGTCTTTCTGCGAGTCTTGTCGCACAACATGGTGTGGCCACGGGCAACTTTATCCGATAAGCAAGAAGAAGGGCGTGCAATACCAGAAGTAGCCTTTGTTACTGGGCCTACTCAATGTCTCGAGTATGGCGACCTTTAAGGAGTACCAGATCAATGGTTGCGTCATAATAGCATTTTCCACTTGCGAGTGCCGACTAGAAGTAAAAGTGAACCCCCGGTCGCCCAATTCAAAGCTGAATAAATAGGCGCTGCGAATCCATACCCCAGATCAACATATATCATCGAATGCTAGCCATCTCCAGAAACTGGCAATTTATACAAATTTGGAACATCCTCGAATCCGATGATCTCAGTTTTCGGCGTTTAAAACAAAAGTTTTTTTTTTGCCCTCAAGTGCGGGTCAGTGCGGAGCATTTACCTCCAGTGGGAGACTGTCATTCAAGCAGACACCAACTAGCGGTCGGGTCGGAAGGAGTTACTGCTCCGATTGACAGTATCGAACTTTTGGACTGTTCGAGCTGTATTGCTGGACTCGGAGGAAGTTGGATAGATGTCGAGAGAGATCCGGTGGGGTTGTGTTTTCTCCAGGGAAAGGTTCTATGGCCGGGACAGATGATAGGCGAGAACCTCCCTTTATAGATAGTGAAGTGGAATGACCCTGACCAGCTTCTGTAGAGCATATCGGTTTCACAAACCACACAGGCTGTAGTCTGCTGGCATTAGCTCCGCCGCACCCGAACCTAGAATTCTCTGACAAAAAGTGGTCTACTCCTCAAATCTCCCCTCAAATAGTCAACTGCATCGCTATTGACCTACTGTGCCCTCGCCAGGTTGGCCGCAGCAATGGCCTCACAAGATGTATTGGGGCGCTTGAGTAAACCGGTTAAACAAGTCATTCGTAGGGCAAAACTGGACATATTCTTTTCTGCCTCTATCTCCATTCTATCTCCAAGATTAATGCACACTTCATAGGAATGATAATGATCAAAACATCGGACTCCCCCACAAAGTGTAAGGTGGGCCGTTTCCCTAAGAAGAAAGAAAAACACAAAAGCCAAAGGCCTCTACAAGGGAAATTAGAACAAGCAAAATCGGATCTTGTTTCCATTAGCCATGCGACTGAAGATAAAAGAGCAGTTGATGCAGCACCGGGGGTAATAATAGGAAACAACTAGCATGAGCAGCTCGAAAAAGACATAAGACACAAATAACGATCGTTGTGACAAATTGCCCTAGTCCTTCAATCTAGGCCTCTGGGGTTTCGGTCCTTGCATTTCAGCTTGAGCAGGTCTTCGCTTGGCCTCGGTGATTTCGTCATTTTGAACCTCGCAGGCCCGACATTGTAAATAGCACAACTTCAAAAAAAAATGGACAGAAGAAGACTTGCTGAAGTAGGTTGAAAAGTTGAAAAGATACTCAATGCCGAGACAACAGGGAAAGGAAGTTGTAGGCTTGAGGTGGGTGTAGAAGAGAGGAGAGAGAGGATGCAAGTGGGGCAAGGGAAGTGGGGCCGGTCGACATGGTCATATGACAATTAACTATGGCTACTATGGCTTGTTGTAACCTGTGTGTTGTATGTTTGTAGCCAAATCAGGCCGCCACTCTTCATGGATTACATAATCCCATTCAGGCGGAGTAGAAAGGGTAACTTGGCCAAAAGATCATCAAGACAAACATAACATCTGTTTGTCATTGCGGCGGTATTAAAGGCTCTAACATCCGTTAGGGACCACATTGTGAAGAAATAGAAACAAAGAGAAGTGAAAGAGTAGTGAAGATCAAATTCATTGAAAGACTTTCATTCTATATCATCTTCTATGGGCTCCGACCGCAGAGGGTCCTAGAGATGAAGGTCATGCTAAACAGTTTTGGATATCAGTGTGCTCGTGGATCCAACATCCACGTAGTAATAAAATTCATGATCAGATTCGGACTAGGATGTTTCACCCCCTGTTAGTTTATCCGTACATTGAAACGCGATTTGAAGAGCGGTTGTGATATAGCCCACATGGTGACGGTTACAAAAGCCCTTCCAGACCGACATGAATAAGTTTGGAGAGTAAGCGAGATTGCGACTAACCTAAGGGCAATAGGTACTCCGTGCTCCATATGTTGTATACGGGGTACGAGTCCGGTTATCTTGACACGTGCTGCGTGGGTAAAAGACTCTGGATTAGAAAGAATGCTGTCTGATTTGGTCCCAGGCTTCAGGCTAAGCAACGGGAGTCCCCTCCCTGAGACCCACCGGGTCCCCGCATCAAAGCCGATTCTCCTCAAATCAGCGTTGCACGTGCCCTGTCGCCAAGCACGTTGTCTTCTTGGGTCACTCGATAGGCTGTGGCCAGCAGTGGGAGCTGATCGCTTCTTTATCAATATGTAAGCTAATAAGTGTGGGAAACCCTCATGACTGTACCGCGTGCTTTAACTGGCTAATCTCGCATCCCTCGTTTTCACTTAAACATTCCCAAGTCCCATTCAAGGGATATCCTGCAAGGTTTCACTTCAGTTCTCAACTCCACCGATCCCACCTGATGTCAATCAACTCCCTAACCAGCCTGATGTCGAGTTATTTGCCCATCTCCGATCGCAGTTCTTCTTCGGAGGACGAGAAGGACCCTCATTCGCGACTTCGATCGGATGTCGAGGTAGGGAACAACACAACCCGTCACGATGACTCGGAACGAAAGTCTTCCCGCTTTATTGATGGTCGTACCGTGTCCGATGCCATCATCGGTCTCTCCGACGGCATGACTGTGCCCTTCGCCCTAACTGCTGGACTATCTGCATTAGGCGATACCAAAATCGTTGTGTTCGGTGGACTCGCAGAACTCATCGCAGGAGCTATCTCGATGGGACTCGGTGGGTATCTGGGTGCTAAAAGCGAGGAGTAAGTCTGCCAGAAGCATATGACCGATCTCCGATGAGAAGACGCTAGACGATATTCTGGGGATTCGACAGCTGACATGTTTGTAGGGAATCATACAAAGCCACGTTAAAAGAGACTCAAACGCAGACTATGACAGATCCCGCCTCTGTGTCTGACACCATCTCCGACATTTTTGAGCCCTACGAATTGCCATTTGAACTGGTCGCTCAACTCAAAAATCATCTGTCTGACTCTCCTATGCTTCCATCCTTTCTCATGAACTTCCACCACACTTTGCCCGAACCCTCTGGCTCACGAGCGATCATTTGTGCTTTTACAATCGCCCTGGGATACTTTATCGGTGGATTCATTCCTCTCATACCATACTTTTTCGTCGGACCCCATGAAGCCTTCATCGCCCTGCGGTGGTCCATTGCTACCATGGTCATTGCGCTGTTTATCTTCGGATATGTAAAAACCTGCTTTGTCATTGGCTGGCGGGGTCGTCGAAATATCCGCAATGGTGCCATTGGAGGTGTACAGATGGTACTGGTGGGTGGTATTGCCGCTGGTTCTGCCATGGGGCTGGTAAAGGGCTTCCAGATGCTGGCGGAGGCTCACGAGGACCACAAGCATGACTGACTGGCCACCCAAAGATCTTTATCGTTTCACGGCGTCGGCGCTGAGCGGCTTTTTACTTTCCTTGGTTTACAGTGATAGATCGGATGGCGTTGGAGTTTCTAGACTTGCAAACTGCCGAACTAAAATCGAATGAGGACTTTGATTTGCTCACTTTATGGCTGCTTTCCTCTCAGTCAATTTTTCTATCAACAATCTAGTGGTCAGTAATCCAAAAAAAATTGGGTTCGCCATGATAATGTTCATCTCGACGTCACGAAGAATGAAAACCGATCCCTACATAGAACGATGGTCAACAACACCAGAAGAGAGTGAATGAGCTCCACATGTGTGATTGCCATGGCGAGGCGCCAAGATGGCCAGATTGCTGAGCTCTTTTGCTGTGATGATGCCTGTGGACAAAGTGCAGTCATCAACGTAACACCCTTTGGCACCTTCTCCACAGAATCCCCCGAGAGCCTTGGGGTAATCGGCTAACGGATCAGGGGCAACATGGCGTACTATATACTGCGGCAGTAACTATCGAATCAGTTTGATGAGATCTTTATGACTTCTGGACAAAGGCACCTGGGCACCTTGCGCGATAGCTTGAAACGATTAAGTGTTTGAAAATGGGATGCACAAGACCTCAATAAACATCTTGGTAATACTAGATATTAAATTGCATAGATAAATGACCATCACACACATACGAAAGGAAAACGTCTTATGCCAGCCCTTCCTGCTTCCCGCGAAGCAAATCTTTCTGCTTATTGTAACCCGTGTCTTGGCCGTTCACTATCGCTTCTTTTTCTAGTGCCCCAGAAGATCAAGCACGTAGTCTTGGCAATTCCAACCCCGAATCTCATTGTGAATTGTGACTTTGCTAGCGACAGTCTTGATGGAACTGATTTCGGTGACGTTCACATCATGGAGGGGAAGCAACTCTACCAGTCTTTCTGATTGTCGAACCGCTCTTGTTTCCAGCTCATAGCAAAATCGACCATCCGAGCCCGCCACCTGGAGGAAAGTTTTTGTCTTTTTCTCGGGGTCCATCGATGAAAACACCCCAGTGGTTGTGAACGCCTTCGCCGACGCTGATGGCGACATAAATTGACACCGTCGACGACATGTTGAACATTAAACACGGAGAATTAGCTCTGTGGAATTTTAGAAACTTTCTTGAAAGCAGCATTCGTCTGCTGTGCTTACTCTTATATGCGGGGTGGTTAGTGTCTATGAGATCTTGAACTGAAGTGAAAAGGAATATAGAGATTGCAGTAATAATATATCTGCAAAGTCTTTCCCTAGACAGCAGACTATCAAGACAAGCGCCGAGAAAGATGCACAAACCTCTACGGAGTAAGATTTTAATTTTGGCATTGGCGGTTGCAGCATGTCCAATGAATGACGAGAAGGGCGCTTAGAGGTATAATTAGCGTTTTTGTTTACAAATGCCAGCGCCTGTGGCGAGCCCATACTTCGCAAAGCACACGACTAGGAGAATGTAGACTATCTAAATATTTGTACCTTCTTTTTGGTCTCGCGGAATGATGTAAACCCCAGAAGGCACTCCGTACGATGTAGTCATGGTCCCCACTGACCGCATTGGGGTTGCGGGGATGACAGCCTCGTAGGATCGGCGATGCAGAAAGTCGATCCCGAAACGTTGATCATGGTATTGCGTTTCAAACGAGCCCGGGCATGTCAAATGAAAACCTGCCTTGAAAGACTATTGGAATATGCGGGAAATGTAAGCCCGGGCAATGCCAAAAGCTCACGCTAATCGAAATGTTGGCATCCTCACATCTTGATATCGAAGGTATTGACCTCACGGAGTGTTCATCTAGAAGTACCATCATAGGAATATCATAACCTGCACCCAAATCCCAACGAGGCTTAGTAGCAAGGCGAACAAAACTTGAACCTTCCAAGGTAACAACATTACAGCTTGACTTAGTATCTGTGGCGCAGCTCCACACATCAGCCTTACATCACTTCTAAGCCTGAGAACCCACTCTAGGCAGCCGCCCCCCGGATACGAATACGAACGCGTGCTGTTCAACGGAAAGCGTAATACATCGTCAACAAGATTGTAACAAGCTTCGGATAACCTCCAATTTACTGAGTAACGAACTACCAAGACAGCATAATTCCTAGAGAGCTTTGACGTTGGATTAGAAATGAAGTCAAGGTGTGATTGACTGCGGTTGCGCGACACTTGGATTCTGAAACACGTGTGTACCAATGTCAAGGGGTGGAAAGCATATTCCACAGCTGTGCCGCCTTTTACTGAGCAAGTTCTTTCCACTGCAGAGATGTTGTACACTGGTTGTTGTCCAAATCAGGAGGCTGGTATCCCCTAAAGGAGGGGTTTTCCGTTATCCCCTGAGGGTAGGGCCTTGTTACATGATAGGCTGCATATCCTCACATAGGCGCCGGCCCCATGTAAAATGGCCCTAATAGTGTCAGACTCGTGTTTTTCTCCTGACCGCTTGTCAAACTGGAACCTCGAGTGTTGATTGTGTGTGGCTCAGCCGAGCGAGGCTGAGTCTCATTGATGCCAATGCATAGTATGGAGCACGGAGTGTAGCATCTACGGAGTAGACGTTGGGCCGTCGCCGATGAGTGTGGTATGAGGAGCTCGCATCTACGGACTCCGTATTCCGTAGTGTTGTTTTGAATCAGCAGAACGACAGTTGACAAGCCGTGCATAAGCGAAATTGGATAGCTCTGATGGAATTTAATACCGGAACTGAAAGACGGGGGCGCAAAGGAGAAGCAGCCAATCAGAGACTCCGGCGATGGATCTTATAAGGAAAATTTGCGAAAAATTTGCGTCTCAGTTGTAATTTTGAAACCGTGGGACCATATTATGTATGTGTGCTACATTTTTAATTTAATTCAAGATGGCTCCAGCTACTCCGTAGTCAAAGTTTTTAGGTCATAGAGGTCGGCATAGCGTGATGCTATGGAGTACATCAATCTAAAATATATAAGTTATACAAATTGTGGACAGAGTTGTCCTCGGGAGTCTCGGAATCATGTGCATAAAAGGTAAAGGATGTCGGACCATTGGCAAAACAAAGTCCGAGGTATGTCCAGAAATGTGATCCCCGTGGCTTCCGTGGCTTCCGACTCAAATCCTCAGACCGGACAGCCAGGTATTATACTGTACACTGCCGAGGCCTCCGGTCAAAACTACAACAGAAATGAGATGGGTAATTCGAAATAGTTGTATCAAGAACTCCGTACCTGAAAAAGGTAGAAGGTAAAGTGTGTTACTAAACTAAAACCGACTAGTGACGCCATAGATACATTAAAATCGGTCAAACAATTAATGGAGCACTACACACGGATGTAATCATTACAGGAAAAGATTACAGCTAAAACTTAGATATCGGTAAATACGAATACGCCAATACTTCAAAGTTCCCGCGGGTGAAATCCAGGTCTTTTCCTTCCCTTCCTCCATCTCTCTTCTTCAATTCTTAATCTCTCCGTTTCAGGGCGTCAAGTGGTCTCCTTGGTTTTCTCGAGCTCTGTTTACTCTGGGTTTCATCGGTTGCGCCCTTTTCTCCTTGCATCCCGACCCTTGTCAACGTGACCTCCTGAGTTCCCTGGGACTCACGCCCCTCGGCCTTATCCTTCGCCTTCCTATCGGCCTAAGTCACCTTTTCATGAGCCTCGCTTCTGGCCAACGATAAACCTCTTTTCCGTTGCGCGACCCCCTTCCGTCTCGTCCCGCGGCAATCCTTGAAGTCTCAACCGTCCCTTCTCCAAAAAAAGATCTGGACTCTTCTAGAGGAGAGCCGCTGCGAATATGAGTGCCTCCTATCCGTCATGGAAAGATCGTACGCAGAATCAGCTCGGAAAGCTTCAGATCCAGGTGCCATGGCGTTCATTCCAGCTTCTGGTGCCACATCGCATGCGTCGCAAGCTCCGGTCCAAACTCCGGAGCCGCCTTTCGCCCACCTCATCCATTTCGAGGTTGCAAACCTCCTTCTCGCCTGCCGACACCCTCAGATCCTTACAGGCACACCGATGGACGTTGTATGACTTCCAATACTTGTTGCTCCTCATCATCGGCTTTTTCTCCTTGACAATAATCCAGTCTCCTGGTCCATTGGGAAAGACGGCGATTGCCACCGGACTTTTGTGCTCCCTCCTCATGCCAATCACCCGGCAATTCTTCCTGCCTTTCCTTCCCGTTGCCGGATGGCTTATCTTCTTCTATGGATGCCAGTAAGTTTAGCTTCCTGTTAGGACACCTTCGGATGCGCCTGCCATGGCCTGGTGGCGTAATCAGGATGTGCGACGGTATGAACATCGCTAATGTGTGTTTCTCTAGATTCGTTCCCAGCGATTGGCGGCCTGCCATTTGGGTTCGAGTGTTGCCCGCCATGGAAAACATCTTGTACGGTGCCAATATCAGCAACATTCTATCCGCCCACCAAAATGTCGTGCTTGACATTCTGGCATGGATTCCTTACGGACTCTGCCATTACGGAGCGCCATTCGTCGTTTCACTGATCCTCTTCTTCTTCGGGCCTCCGGGAACTACCCCTCTGTACGCCCAGGCTCTCGGATACATCAGCATGATCGCCGTCTTCATCCAGTTGGCTTTCCCTTGTTCGCCACCCTGGTATGAAAATCTGTATGGTTTGGCACCGGCCGATTACTCTATGCAAGGAAACCCAGCTGGTCTTGCTCGCATTGACAAGTTACTGGGTATTGATCTCTACACTTCGGGCTTCAAGCAGTCCCCTGTTGTTTTCGGTGCATTCCCCTCGCTCCATGCTGCCGACTCTACCCTGGCAGCACTATTCATGAGCCACGTCTTCCCGCGGTTGAAGCCCCTCTGGGTTACCTACACACTGTGGATGTGGTGGGCTACCATGTATCTTTCTCACCACTACGCGGTTGATCTGGTCTGCGGGGGCCTACTCGCCACAGTTGCCTTTTACTTTGCCAAGACCCGGTTCCTCCCCCGAGTACAGGCCGACAAGATGTTCCGCTGGGACTACGACTACGTCGAGATCGGTGACTCTTCTCACGACCACAGTTATGATCTTGCTAGCTTGGATGGCGATTTCAACTTGGACAGCGACGAGTGGACCGTAGGATCTTCTTCGTCCGTTTCTTCGGGCTCTCTGAGCCCGGTGGACGATCATTACACGTGGGAAAGCGAAACTCTCACCTCGAATCACGACATCGAGGCTGGACGGTAATCCTCAAGCTTCACTTGCATCTGTCGCTTGATGAAGTCCATTCTTGCATATTCTACTTTGGAATCGGCGTTATGTTTGACGACAATGTTTGGGAGTACTATCTGCATCGAGCAATCTTCGACGCCTTAAGGTTTTTTAATAAAACCTCCGGTTCGCGCGGTATTTTCGCCTCGAGCTGAAGGTCCTGTTCACCTTTTGGCTGTACATGCCTTGCCACCCCACCCCCCTTTGGGCTGGCAACCCCGTCTATAATATTAATACCGGTGGCGGAATGAATCGGGCCTTGTTCACCTGCGTGCGCTCGCTAATTCCTTGCACCGCCACCGTTGGCAGTCTTCGCCTGTACACATTCACGGATGCCTTCGGGCAATGCCCTTTATTTTTCTGACCCATGTCTTTCTCTACGACTTTATGAAATGGGCGAGCCACGTTTTCATTGGCTTTTGGCTCGTCCAGATGAACAAACATTTTTACCCTTCGTGTCGCTCGCTCATCATAAGCGCCGGAACTTCGACCTGTTTTTGGAGATGAAAAGTTTCGGCGCTTTTTGCTGCACCGCCCCTCGCTGTGCACTAGAAGGATTTTTGAATCTTGGCTGTTATGCGACATTTTGCATCGGCACAGGAAAGGGAGTTTTCAAAAAGACCGCCTCGATCTACTCTCTGGTTGTTGTGTCCACCACTCCTGGGTGCTGATTAACTAATCAGCGTCAATATTGTGTGGATTCGACACGAAATGATTCGACGAAAGGAAAGGGAGTACTGAAAGCTGGGGCTCTTGTTTTCAGAGCTTGAGTGACCATGGCAGCTAGAGTGAACGGGATGTTGGTACTTTTGACAGAGGCCATATCCCCCACCTTCGAGCCTCACCTATTCTCTTCGTTTCCGGCTATCAAAATTGAAGCTCATCCGACAACCTAATGCATCTACGCCTCCCGTGGCATCCTCTCAATGTCCCGAGTTGAGTCGTGTGTATGCCTCTTATCATTAGTTTGGGGGCCGGTATGACCCTGTTGGATATTGCTAGCATTATTTTTAATCACCAGCGAATGAATGAATCATTGTACATTATCTACAGTTCTGGGTGACTTTTGTTAGTATTCAGCATCCAACTTGGCACGTGAGAGCCACTCGAAAATTCACTCCCAGGTCTCACATGAAAATCTGGCAACTCCGCCAATGTGATGAGGACTGAGGACTATCCACACAGTAGACGGGACACGTTATGGTCCCTTCAATTTTGCTTCTCACATGAGCCAAGAGTCCAGCTTTGTCGATCACACGGGACCAGTCACTAGTAGCTTTGCACAAGTCACTAGTCTCCTAGTTGTAGTTAGCGTGGAGTACCATGTACGTTTAGGGGTAGGAACCGGGATCCGCGCTTATCCGTGATGCAAGAGGTTGCTGGAATCGTAGTACAGACTCGTTCGCAGGGTTGTTTGAGTATTCCATTTCCCAGTCCTCCGTAATATAAGCAACGATTGAACCGATACATGTTTGTAGACGCAGTAAAAAAGGAATGGGATGAATTCATATGAGGGTCTGTCACAACGAAATGTACAAAAATCCCGACTTGGAAGCAAAACCCCCATCTATCTAGAAAAAAAAATTCCAGATGTCTTGAAAGAGGTGTGTGTGTGTGTCAAAGTGCGAGCCAAGTAAAGAATAAATGTTCAGAACAGTCATAAGGAACCTCATTAGATCTATTCCTCGTCGAATATTTGTACACGATCCGCATACTCGCGGATTTTGGAGACAAAGGTCTCCTCGATTGAATCGCCTTTGCCGCCAGCGACACGGAGAAGAAGATCGTTGAGGGAGGCACGGCCTAGTATATCCACATGGTCACCTATAAAAAGTTAGTCGTCTGTCGTACATCGTAGAAAAGAGTGAGTGGGAGCAAAGAAGAACCTACCAGTGTTGGGACCACCACGGGGCGAGAAGCGATCAGGCTCGTGAGGCATCTCAAAGACCTTGACCTTTATGCCAGCTGGATTATAACGCTTCAGGTGCCAGCCTTTGGCGCACATGTAGCCCGCACTAAGCAGGCTCACAGTGCCGTCGCCCTCGCCCATTAGAACGCCGTGGTCAACGCCCTCGTTGTTTGTGATTGCGGTGTCCATGCTGACCTTGAGGTTGACCGTTGGATCAGGATCTTCCTGGTAGAAGTAGCTGCGCTCTGTAGGCTTGCCTACGCCATAAAAGCAATATATCTTCATGTCTGGGGCAAGGGGCAAACGTGACTCTAGGGGATTGAGCCAGGTGCGCGGGTCCTTCTCGTTGGCTTCGACCTCGCGTTTGGTGTGCGCGACACCGTGAGAGTAACTATTCAGAATCTGGCTCCGGTACCAATCCTCGCTCTGATCCAGGAGGTACTGAATACTCTCTGACGCAGTAAGATTTTTTTGGGTCAAGGATGTGTTGGACTCGTGGAAGCGGAGCAAGTTGCCAAAGGTCAAGGGCTGACCTGGTTGGTCGTCCGGTGCCCAGGTCGAGTTTCCCCATATGGCCTCTCCGCCCTTTGGTAGCATGCTGGAGATACCGGGCATCGCACGGAAGATCTCCACGCGCTCGCCCTTCGATAGGAATTTCTCCAGTCCGTACACGGCAAAGGCGTTTAATTGCGCCGTATCCCGCATTTCACCGGACAGAACGGCGGTCAATCCCTTGACGGCACCTAGCATGCAACCGCCGATGTTGACCCACGAATCAATATGTTTGTTAACCCAGTCTTTGCCGCCGTTTCCGTGCTCCTCGCTCTCTACCCACTTGAAGAAAAACAACACCACCTGAGATCCCATGCTGTGAGATGCCAATGTGACCTTCTCACCCTGTACCTGCACCGCAGTCTCGATGTAGGATTTGAGTCGAGTGAAATATCTATCGCGAACTTCGAGGTTGAGATATGAGAGTCGCCAGTCGTACGCAGCCGTAAACGCATTGGTCGGATCATAGCCAATGGTAGCCAGGTTCTCCAGGATCTTATTCCAAATCCAATACCCCGTAATAAAAAAATCCGTGGCATCGAATCCTTGCGCCGATCGGAGTTTAATGCCAGGCGGGTCCAGGCCTGTATCCTGATCGAGCATGACATGGTTCTTCCACTCAGCTTTATCCATAACTAAAGCTCTCATCATGCTCCAGCTGCCCCATAATCGTCGGCGGAAGTATTGTCGCGAGGCTTCGCCTGTGCCCCAGCTCTCTAAGCCAGTCGAGATGACTCCGGGGATCATCACGACGGGGTGTTTGGCCTCTACACCCATAGCTCGAAGATGTAGCCCAACGGCAAATGAATCATAACTGACGGTGTCGCGTTCGTGTTGCTATACCCCCGATGGAAGTTAGTTGGATGGCAACCAGAGGAAGCGAGAAGAGAACTCCCTCTTTGAAAGCACGTACTGAGAATTCTTTCACGTCACTCAAAATCCCTTGTGGAAGAGCCTCAATCCACGAGTCGAGATTCAGTTCCATGAGCGAATCCAGGCTTATGACCTCCTGCTGGTTCGCGAAGAACAAGGCGATGAAGATCCCGAAGATCCCGCCCAGCAAGAAGATGAAACCATTGCGACGTTTACTTCGGGGCTTAATAACAAGCTGCGTGACTTTTGTATCAACAAACTCCGCATGGAGCTGTTCGTTCTCATGTTTCGTACCGCTGACTGTGTCAGAGGGCGGGACCTCGTCCTTGCCCATGCGGCGGCGGAGCATGGCGACCAACCGCGATGGAGGCAGAAGAAGGAGGGGACCTGATCGGGTTGCTTGTAATATTAATCGCAGGAACAAAACCAACAAATTGGAAGAAAAGAAAAGAAAAAAGAAGAATCCAAAAAGAAAGTGAAGGGGAATAAGAAAACACGGAAGTGCATAAAATCCGCGAACGGGAGGATCGGCATCACATGGCAGAGTCCATTTCCTCCCCTGCACATCTCAACACCCCCCCCACCCCCCCCCCCCGGTCAACTCCAATCATCCGCCCACTTCGATGACATCGCTGTGATGAGCAGTGCTCAAGATCTTCGCTATGTGCGATATGAAAAATCGCGCGAAAATGAGTATGTCGCCGCAATGCGCCAGCTGATCTCCAAAGATCTGTCCGAACCTTACAGCATCTACGTCTACCGCTATTTCCTATACCAATGGGGTGACCTATGTTTCCTCGCGATGGACGATAAAGATGAGATGGTCGGAGTCGTGGTATCAAAGCTAGAGCCGCACCGCGGAGGCCCACTGAGAGGGTATATCGCCATGCTGGCCGTGCGCGAAGAGTACCGCGGGCGGGGAATTGCAACCAAGCTAGTGCGCATGGCCATCGATGCTATGATCGAGCGGGATGCAGATGAGGTATGTCTATACAGCTAAGGTGGCTGTTCGGCCTCAAACGGGGAGGTCTCGAGGGTATGGTAGCTGACCTGTGCGTGTTTGGGCAGATCGTTCTCGAAACTGAAATCACCAACACCGGGGCAATGAAACTGTACGAGCGGTTGGGCTTCATTCGGAGCAAACAGCTCCACCGTTATTACTTGAACGGAAATTCGGCTTACCGACTTGTGCTCTATCTCAAAGAAGGTGTGGGTGCGATTCGGACAGCACTTGACCCGTATGGTCTTCCACCACCAGTACCCGGTCTACCTGACACGTGCGAGGGACATTCTCATGCCAATATGGGGTCATTAATTTGATTTTTTGTTGCAGGCAGTGCTATGAAGTTTCTTCGTTGTTCTGTCAAGCTGTGCTGGCATGACATGTCATGATTATGAATGGAAAATGACCAGAATAGATATACCTCACAGGAGCTGGCGTCCTTGTGGAACTGTTTTGTATAGAAAGACCAATTTCCTGCGAAGTATGCCCAATAACTAGTCTGCGTTGATCGAGAATAGAGGATATGTCATAAAAGCATAGTCGGCCCCGCTTGTGGCCTAGTGATGTGCTTTTTGAATGTCCTTTGAGAGATCATTTTTTGAAACAAGTTTCCCCTTCTTGGCGTCCGAGCAAGAAGGAAGTCGCCGCAATACATCAAGCATAGGCGCTGAAGAAGATGCAAAATGCGCCATCTGAACTTTCTATATGAAGCATGTCATATCATGTCAAAGGGACCTCGGGGGAGATTTGAGTAATGGAATACCTGGAGGATAGGTACCGCGATCTACCCTGAAGGTCACATTGTAAGCAAATATCACTTGGATTAGGAACACTGCCTTGTAGGCATTTCTCCCATAAAAGAAACAAACTCTCAAGAAGGCTGCTGATGCTGCCATTGATTTCACACCACTCTCCCACGCTGTTGGCCACGCCTCTTTGCCAATCGTCAATCTTCTGTTCAATCGTGGAAGGGATATTACAATACGGGCAGGCTTTGCACCATGCAGTTGCTCACGATTGCGATGCAGTGGAGGTCCTGACGCTTCTCATTGCTCAAGGCGCTCCGTGATCAAGCCCGGTCGTCATCTGAAGGCCATCCAAGGCATTCCTATAAAATATCAGGCATCGTATGATGCTGACTTCGAGGTAGGTTTCACTGGTGGTATGTGCAATCTTTATAAATTGAGCATATCATTCATAATGAGTCAAAACTAATTAGGGCAATAAATAGGAGGGGGAGAAGGGGCTTGAGGCGAGATGAGAGTTGATGAGAGTTGATGAGAGTCGGTAAAGACTATATCTCCACGAATGACTGTGCGGAGTAGAACAAACCAAACGCAAAAGACCATTCGAGATAGAAATCACAAAGTCCACCTTTTTACATCCTAAACTTTGGATCTAAGTGTTGCCACATCTTTCGAGTTGGGAATCCCAGTGGAGTTACCGAGATCTGATCTTGGAAAGGTGGATCCTGTGTCTCCATTTAAAATGAAGCCGAGGTCCCCCGTGTATGTTTTTATTTCATGTCTCATCCCCCCATGGATCCAACAGCACTCGGATACCTCCAAGGCCCATCTAGGATGAAAAAAACAAACAAAAAAGGTCGTCGACCCGGTAAAATAGCCTGCACGGCCTGCCACGCTCGCAAAAAGCGATGTGACATCTCTCCGCCACATCACCAGTGCATGCATTGCCGCAAGGAAAATAAATGCTGTATCCCGCGAGATTCTATTGACAGGTATGCAAGACGAAGAAAACACAACGGCTAGCAAGACTTACAAAACCGTTGGAAGACCCACCCAGCGACGAATGCCCGGCCGCAATCACAACAGCCAGAAAGTCAGCCATGACGAGAATCAATTTCATGTCAATGGCTTTCTGCCAAAAGGAATTGACCATGAAATACCCCGCTGGAGTGCAGTGTATTCTTTTTATTCGGAGATGTGCCGGCTACTGCCGACTCTCACCTCCACCTCCCCGCCCCTTTCAGCCGAGATGGAAGAGGACATTTCACATGTGCAAACTGCACCAATGGAGAGAAAGCAGGATGCGCCATCGTCCGGGCTGGAATTCTCAAGGCGCTTTCAGTCGGATGTCCTATATAGGGATTGTGTGGAGCCAACTTCTCCTCTGAAGAGGGTCGGCAGACCTGCTCGTCGGTCTCTGTCTCGGTCTCGGTCCCCGCCACCTGTAGATGAAAGGGTTGGGCTGGAAAAAGCGTTAGCGTGCGAAGCTGAGACGCATGGGATCCATGATCCAGCGAGGGAAGAGAGAGCTCCAAGCGGAGGATACTCCGATTCCACCTATGATGTTTTTATGAATGATCTCGATGCATTGCTTAGATTTTGATGGTGCTCAGATTGAAAGAAGAGATGTATTCGCTCACGATCAGACGAAAAGCAAATATAGGAAACGGTTATTTTGAATTTTGCAGCTTTATGGATTTTATACGCTGAGATAATATACAAGTGTAAGATACAAGATGATGGGCAAGTAGGAAGACCAGAGTGCATTTAAAAAACACCAGCCAAAACAAGCCCGCCAGATGGGATATTCATGCAACACGCTAGCGTCAAAAAGGTAGAAGGATCGAAGAATGCGCGAAGGATGCAAAAGGGGGGAGGGTTGGAAGATTATTGGGGTTTCTCTTGGTCTCGCTCTTTGTCTTTACGGACAATGGGAACTTGAATAGCATTTTGCATCTTCCAAGTCAGAGGCCGTGGTACACCCCGCCATTCCTTATCCAAGATAGACGCTGCGTCCAGCATAATCGGGGAAGGATGCTGGGGGACATAGCGGGTTGCACCAAGGATGAGGTCACGCTTGATAAGAGCATTGGCAAGGCGGATTTGGAGATTACGTTGTTCCCCCCTAGGCTTCCATCCGATGAGGTAGAGAATTGGATTGTGACGGAATTCGGAGGGGATATCATCCAAAATGGAGTCTGGAAGCCGGTAGTTTTCATGGTGTAGGTCGATACCGATGATGACCTTGCCGGCATCGGAACTCCACAAATCTTTGTTCAGCCCGATGGGTTTACCAAAGGACGCATTGCGACATAAGGAAGCCAAGACCGCCTGTCTCATCTTGTAGGTCACGCTTTTTTTCATGCAAGAATACCGCCATATAACCAGGCAAATGTTGTATTGGCGGTGCCTGAATGCGGCCAAAAACAAATCCTCCCAATTTTGCGAGGTTACTTCAAACAAAGGGTGCTCAAAAAAGCGGAGGGTATACTGCAAAGCGACGTGTATGTTCGCACCCAGCGCTTGCACGATGTGGCTGAGCGGATAACTGTCAACAGTGAGGTTATTATCAATGCAGATTTCCATGAGCCGGTTTATGGAGTTAAAATCCTTCAATCGAGCAAGCACACTGAACATCTGACCAACGACGGAAGAGCTGAACCAATTAGCGCCCCAGGTATTGGTCATGAGGTCAATAAAGGAGTCTATATCTTTCCCACTATCCAAATGCACCAAAAGCGAATCTTGGATTGTCTCCTGGAGCGCGCTGTGGATGGTAGAAAGGTTAGACATCTGACCACGCTGAACCATATGTTCAATGAGTTGGGCTTTCTCGCTGGGGTCAACCAGAGCGCTGAGCAATGCGAGCCATGTGTCTGGGTTTGGGCGCATGTGCAATCGAGGCATCGTCCGCAGGAAGTGACGGAAGACACTGACATCCTGACGTCGCGCAGCAGCTCGTAACAGGATATTATATGTATCAGTGGTAGCCACATGCTCTGTGCGTGAACACAAGGCTCGGGCAGTGTCAAGGAACTCATGTCGACAAAGGAATTCCAGTGCATTATTCAAGGCCGCAGTCGAGATGAAGTTGGAGTGTGTTTCTTCCGTGAATAGCGCTTTCAGATGTTGTTTAATCCTGACCACGTGTGGAAGCTTTGATAGAGACATGGCCTTCTCATCGAGCGTCGGTTGCCTCGCAGATGTGACATCCTCGACGTGCTCGTTAAACTCCTTCACGGTAGCGATAACCGGTCGAGGGAGCAGGATCTCGTCCAAATTTGAGCTGCTATCCGATGTTTCGCCGAAATGCCAGTTCCCACGAATCAACGGTACAGGCAGGTTTGAACGCTGCATCGCGCCCCGAGAAACGCACATTGGAACCGGTGGTTTGTGGATATCAACAAGAGGATCACCCATAGCTTGCAGGTTCTGTGCGCGGGTAAAATGCCCTTCTACTAGCGCCATGATATGGTCCGTGGCACTCAGAACGACTCGACGGAGTAACCCCTTGCTCTGGCTTGCAGGTAGGATATGCACGCGACATCCATTATGTAGCGGAACGTACCAAATATTCTCTTTCAAAGTATAACGAGTCACACCAGAAAATAGGGCGAGGGTCTCCTCTGGTACAAGTATCTCCTTCTTGTTCCAATTCTTCTTAGGATTTTTCCGGACATCGCGCTGCACTTGATCCAGAATATCCTTAGTATCAAACCAAGCATTATCAAAGAGCTTTGCTGAGCGAGATTGATATTTTTTCTTCATGTGTTCGCGAAACCGCAACTTCTTCCGATCTCGAATCGATGTATGTCGTAAAAATAGTTGTCTCTGCGTAGGCGAGGAAGTTCTGGCGTTCAGGGATTTGTCTTGCAGCCGACCTTTCTGTATTCTCTTCGCTCTCGTCAATGCGAAGCCACGTAGTGGTTGTTGAGAAGTGGCGTCTTCGGCATCTGCAAGGGAATTGACAGGCTGCCTCTGACCTTTGGAGGACCGACCTCCGCCAATTTCATTCGAACCATCGGAGCCAATTTCCTCGTCCTCGCCTGTTTTAAGATGCCGTCCAACTGCCACAGGGGAAAATCGCGGATTTGAATCATCGGGGGACCGAGAGGAGGACTCAGAGGAAATCCATTGGCGCGAGCGTCGAGAAAGCGTAGGAGAGGGGCGGACTGCTGCGTGAAATGGGGAACCGGAAGTAGGACATATCCCAGTTGAAGCATCAATCGACTTCAGGGAAGATATCTGTCGACGTTGCAAAGCAGGCGCAGCCCAGCGGGGATAGAGAAACAGAAGAGGCTCATCGGGGCAAGTCGCGACAGTGTCCAAGACGGCAGACAGATGCCTCCTTAGACACGGGCAGCCACGCAAGAGCATAAGGGACGATGCTCTAATGGCACCGGAGACATGAATGGAAAGGAGACAAGAATTGGGCGCGTTGCTGATTGAGGTGTTTTTCGATGGGCCATTTTGCCCCGAAAATTGCTGGCCGCTGAACGGGTAGGCGGTGGCCGGAGCTTGGCTCTGCCGGATGAGCTGCTATACTTCGGTATTTTCTCCCATGTTCTCCCCAACATCAATATTTACTCCGATTATACAGGTGATTATTTATTACATTAATAAATGTGACCTTCATGGTCAATCTCAGCAGCTTTGGGAATGCCCCTGAAAATCTGCTTCACCGAACTCGCACGCTCCTCCAAGACTGGTCGCTTAGCCAGTAGTGTATCATGCTTGGCTACCGGAGTCAAGTCTAACAGTTCCGTCCCTGACTCGCCATGATCGTCTTTGAAAACGTCCGGTCCGGTAATATGATGCTTGCAAGATTCTGCGGCACGAGTGAGATTATCTTTCTTGCGTTGGATTGCATCGGCGTCTTTGTCAGAACCGGTGGGAGCTTTGGACAGCTCACGAATGACACGAGAAAGATATGTCATAAATTGCCAGCGGGAGGTCTGGAAGAGGAACATGGGCATTATTTTTGGTATCTGGTATCCGCCAAAGTGGAGTTTTAGCCCGGTCTCAACATACAGAGTAGGGAAAATCGCGAAGCTCACCTTGTCGTTCAGATAAAAAAGTTCCTCGCCTCCATCCTCAATGAATTTCTTCAGCGCATCAATTTTCTCTCGATCAATGGAAGCTAATTTCAAAGCATGCATCAAACTGGGTATATCCCCGATCTCATCAACATGTGGCTCCTCATCAACCGTCATGCTCACATGATTCAAGAATCCAGATTCTACCCGGGACAGTCCCGCAGTACTCTGCTCCCGACTTCTTGCCTTGGACGAATGGATGGTAAAATAGTCCTCAGTAAGCAAATGTGAGTTCTCAAAGTTAGAGCGACCAAGGTTCCGCCGTGCAAGGGCCTTGGTCCGTAGTCTCACCCACCGTCTTCTCCGGACAAACGAATGAAACCACGGCTGGGTACCATGCCACGAAGACGACGAAAACGAAAAAGAGTACTGCCACCCTTGCTCATCGGTATCACCAGACATGTCAACATACCATGTCTTCCATGTCCATTCCCAACTTGGGTCAGGCAGCTGGGCATTCGTGATATCAACAGGACTAGCTCTGCGATCCTGTGTCATCCAGGGGCTGGGATCAAAGTTCAACAGCGAGCTGTGCGAGTAATGTGGGACACCAAGAACGAACCAGCCTCGCTGGTTCTCGTAAAGAATATCCATTTCCGAGCGCCGGTTTGTGTCCTCGCGGCCGTTGATTTGATCTTCTGTTCCGTTCACCTGGCCAGTGCCGCTGTCATTGATAGTCGAGACTCGCGATGGAGCAAAGTCAGCTATCTCGAAATCTCTGCCTCCGCTGCTTTCTCCGGTAGAGCTTGCTGAGATGGAGCCTCCGCGCACCTGGGACGATTCTCGGCTGAGCGAGTCATTTGTCTCGGGCGCGATACCGAGCCTATCGGGTTGCCATTTTGCGTATTTCCGTTTTTTGAGCTGGCTTTGGACGGATACACGGCTCAGGTGTTTCGTCAGGCTCCCTCGCTGATTGAGGGTGGATGTGCGCCGTGTAGCTCTCTCGCCGGTGGGTTGCGATGGGACGGTATTATCCACGAGGGAAATGGACGGAGGGTTCTCCATAGTCTGTATGTCGGAATGTAAAGAAATATCCCAGACAGTGTCGAGCTATCCCAATGGGCTCCTCAAGCCCTGTATCATATCACTTGAATGTGCTTCTCTCGCATAATCTCAAGGGGTCGTGCCACAGCAGAAGCAGGGATAGGGGGATGTAAGTTGCGAAGTTAGAACTGTAGAATATGAAATATCCCAACAACAGAGATAAACAGAAGAAAATCAGAAACAAAAGAGAACCAAAAAAAACTAACCTTGAAGAGCAAGTCGATGCAACATCGATGACATCGTTTGCGGGGATCAACGCCAAGCCCATGTCTTCTGCAACTCGCGGGAAAAGAAAAAACATCAACAACCACAATAGCCCGCCATGGCAGCACCACACTATCGAAAAGTCGAGCTTCAATCTCCAGCAGACTTCACCTACCTCTACGCCAACACAGTTGCACTATCGCGCCGAAAGCTCGACCTCTACTTCCCCCCCTCCGCAACGAACAATGACACCCCCGATCCGATGCGCGAACGCGTCCGGGAGTTGGTCGACGAGGTGAGGCCAGAGCAAGACGCATGTCCTACATAAACCCAGAGTCTAACCTTAAATAGTACATTAATAAAACATTCGAATCAGCCTCAGCCTCAATTAGCATCAACGGTATAGACTCCACCTCACCACAATTCCCGTTCCCGGCAGCATTCACCGCGCCAACAGAACAAGTCGAGTATGAGGCATACGACACAGACCTTGCGTCGCGTGTGACGTCGCTGTACGCGCAGCTGGAATCGCTCAATACGACTGTTGCACAGCAGAGACGGGATGCGCCGAGACGTGCGGCAAAAGAATATGCCGCGCAATTGAAGAAGATGATTGAAGAGGAGGAAGAAGAATATGAAAACGAGGATGAGATTGAGAATGGACAGAAAGACGCTGATAACGATACGGAAATTGGCAAATCTGCGAATGTGCAGCCCCAATCCAACATTCAAAACGTGAACGCAACACTCGGCCAAGAGGCGAATGGTATGGAGGTTGATTCTGCCCCGCATGGAACTGGATCGGTGCGGACAGGGGCCCAGATGCACTCGCGGCGCCCCTGTAGAAACCTCGACCCGGCGTGGACGTTGCAGGCTGCGCTCGGGACGGAAGAGGAGCAGGAGAGGTGGAAGAGTGGGGACATTGCGAGTGTCTATGAGGATGCTTTGCGGATGCTGCTGCGGTTGCAGGGTGATGGCAATTCTAATACAGACGCTGGTGTGGAGGGTAATGCGTTGGCAACGACGGTGGGCAAGGCTGAGAGGGCTGGCCGTGCTGCTGAAGTGGTGGAGAATATGAACAAGGGAGGGCTTTGAGGACTCTGGGGTTGGTTGACTAGCGTTCTCTGTTGTGTTTTTCTTCTTAATGTTTGGGCGCTATTGCAATTTTGGGGGCGTTTCGGGGCCCTAAACTTGTCCTAGGGATCATGATACCATGTCTTGTTAATTGTTGATGGCTCTGTGGAGTCGAGATCCTATCATCTTTCATTTCATCTCCTCAGACTGAACTGTCTGCTATTTCTGTAGCAAAGGCAAAGATCGTTACTTTTCTGCTCTTGCTCCATTCCTTACTGCTACTCATACATTGTACAATCAAAGCAATATCGACCCAACTTGTGTCCTAAACGTGACAGCTACTATCTCAATATGTGCTCATTCGTGTATACACACTACCAACAACCAAGCTAAACACCAACTTCGCGCCAACTTCACGCCAACTTCACACCCAACTTCACACCAACTCGCTTTTGAATTTCATCACATCCTGTCCCTTCTATGCCAAGAGCAGGCAGTGGCAGCGCACGCTGCTTATCTTGATAGGCAAAAGCAACAACAGAAGCAAGCTCTCCATGATATCTAGATCGGAATAAAAAAAAGCAAAAACGCAAACAGAGAATGTAGAGCAAGGAATCCACAGGTTGTGGATGGATCGGCGAAGGGATGTCGAAATTACCGTATGAGAGACATTCCGGTATGCCTGGGGAATTAGGGTTATGTTGGGAGTTATCAGACCCCGAGGCATTATTTTTTGAGGTTTTTGGGTCGATCGAGGTTGAAAAGAGGCATCCAACATCCCTATCTGGATGACTGTTTTCGGTCGCCATTCAAAACAAAAGGAAATCGTCAATCGGCTTGTTGGAGCTCCAACAAAAAAGACAAAGGAAAAGTCTTCAGCAAGCTCAAGCGCTAGTCTGAACACCCTCCTGACCCTCAACATCCTTCTTCTCATATCCGGGATCCTCATTCTGAACGACAGGCTCAGCAACCTCCTTGGCGGAGGCCCACTTAGGGGGACGAGCCCACTCAGCCTCCTGCCAGGGGCCCATATCAGAGAGTTCACAGCCACCGGGACACTTGCAAGAGCCTCCGAACTCAACGGGCATATTCTCAGCGGGGACCTGGGCCAGAAGCTCCTTCTGGTATCCACTGCCGAGGACGTGAATTTTGCTGACGGTGACGGGGTCAAGGAAGCCCTTGATGGCACCGAAGACGGTGCTGAAGCCCCACGGCGCGTTGATCAGGTAAAGCTTGCCCAGACGCTCGGGGTAGTGGTTTTGCGAGATGTCTGAGGCCTGCTTGACGTATCCGTAGACGGATGGCACACTGGTGATGCCGACACCCTTCAGGTCCATGACAGTGCAGCAGGTCTCAAGCAGCTTGCCGGCCTTGCGCGAACAAGCGGGCAAACGTGGGTCGGCCAGCTTCTCGTACTCGCACACCAGGTTCTGCAGCATGCGGTCGGCAGTGGTGATCTTGTACATCTGGTTCAGGTCGATCTTGCCGAGCTTCTCGATGTAGACGGGGCGGCCATCCTATTTGGTTGCGAAATTATGTCAGTAGTGCATCTGGAGAAAGATGTGCAGAAGCCGCGGAAAACCAACCTTGTCGGTCTTGTGGTAGTACTGAGGGTAGAACTTGAAGACTTCCTCCTTCTCGGGGTAGTCGAAGTTGCGAGCTAGATCATCGGTGCCGAATTCCTTCCGCCACTTCTCGCTAGCAGTGAACCTAGTATGTGAAATTAGACCATTAGGCCTCAATTAAAGGTGAAAGCAAAAAGCTAGCAGTAGCAAGCTTTCTGCCAACCCCCCCAAAAAAAACATTGATGCCCTCCGGCGAGAATCGAGGAACGTACATAGCCTTGGCAGCCTCAATATCAAACTTGCGGGCACGCAGGAATCGCAGGAGGGTCAGCGTATCCAAACGCTCAGTGAAGCCGAGCTTCTCGAGCTCAGCGCGGAGCTGTTGCACCTTTGCATCCTGTTCGGGGGAGGTGTGGCCGGGGTGACCAGGCTGCGCTTCCGGAGCGGTGGTGGGGAAGTCGTACTGGTCGTACTTGGGGTCGGTAGGCAACTGGGATTCTGTGGCCGCCATTGTGGTGGATGGGAGTTATATGGTCAAGGGGAAAGGAGGGAGTTATTCTGGAAAAAGGGCGGGAGGCGGAGGGGGAGACTGGTAAGTGGCCACTTTAAGATAAAAAAACCGCCTAGAGCATCCTTGGGGATTATCCAATGATATTTCTTATTATTGAGCAATAACAACCAACCCCTTCTATCAAATGAATTTTTTAGAGATTTATAGGGGCCAGGCTGCCGTCAATTCCCACGCTGGCTGGTTTTGTGAGAGTAATTGGGCTATTGCTTGAGATCGGGTACAGTGTATGTAGCATCTAACTTGAGCACTTCCTGTCTGGGTTCCGGGCTCCAAGTCTGTGCTAATCTTGTATTAAATATCCTCTAAAAGCCCCAGCAACACCAGCTACACCCAGAAAGAGGATTTCAGTTGAGAAAAAAGGGGCAAGCGAGGGGCAAACGTGGCGGTGTCGAGGTGCCAGTGACGAATCCACTCTGCATGTTAGTGGACACTACGGAGTAGCATTTGACATATTTAACCTACAACATACGAGAGAAGGCAGCAGATATATCAGAGTAACTTACAAGTCCCGAAATGAGATGTAATTTGCTTAAGCACCCTGTAGAGGGGGGAAAAACATCCACAACGTGACAGCATACGGGTATTCAATTCGAAACAGTTCAACACTCAGCAGGCATCGCAAATAGGCATTATTATACACAGCGCATGAGGACCGGAAAGGCCTAGGCGGTGATTGAAACACAAAGCAGAAAGACATGCCGGGGAATTAAAGGACTCAGGGCTCCAGTGAAACCGAGGGGAAAAAAAACAAATGGCAACAACTATGCGCTGGGTATAGACATTGAAAGTACGAGGAGAGACATGGGCAAAAAGCAAGGCATAATAGAAAGACGTGGCCAACAACACAAAAGGATATACCAAAAATCACAGGATCATCGACATTCCCCGTACCAGCGGGGGAGATGATCTCGATCATTCTCCGATGAAGAGTATGTTCCTGTGTCAGCAACATTCACACAAAGGGTCGCCCGAACTGCATGGGCTGATTGCAGTCGTTGCATAGAGCGGTCACCCAATCCATTGTGCGGGATGGAAAGGCATGGCATGTGTTGGCGCCCATTGTCATCGCAAGATTAAGCGCCTAGGGCGTTGTCGATCGTCGGGTAGAAAAGAGGACCTGGCCGGGCAGAGCAAATGGGGAGGCTATTCGACCTCTGCTCGAGCTCATCATTCATCAAAGGGCGGCAGACTTGAGGAAGCCTGGGGCAAATACCGCCTTTACCACCCCTTCTTTCGTGCAAATCGTTTGTTTAGGAGGGTAAGAACCTTGGTGACGTTGAATTGGACATATTCCAGATCGAGGTCCTCCAGGTTGTCTTTTTGCATCTCCAAGAGATCGTCCAGCTTGAGATCGAGCTCCAATAATCCACGGGCTCGTCCTAAGTATAGCGTTAGTAACGATGTTCCTTTTTACCCATAAGACTTCATCCAAGAATTCACCTTTGTAGTGCAGACTGATGACGAAGGTGCCTGGCAAAGGACTCTTGAACATAAAGTAGATATTCGCTCTTCGATTTTCTGGAACATTGCTGCGGTGGATGACACCCTCTTTCTCCAGCTGCTGATGGGTGAACTTGTACGGGCCAAGTTCCTGGTTTTTTGGCGTCTTGCCGCCGCGGGTTTTGCCCTCGGACTGACTACGCACGTTGTGGAGGTAGGACTTGTATGTCTCTAGCTGGCCGACTAAGTAAGCATTATGGTCGCGGATGGTCGCGAAAACCTCCTCGAGCTTCCGCGTCTCTTCCAAGACCATTTCCTTGAGGGAACCCAAGTGCACCAGTTCCTGCTCCACTTCGTCACGAAGCAAACTGAACTCGTCAGATCGGTCAATCACGCCCATGTCTTGCAGTTGGCTGAGTAGTTCCATGGTTCGGATGCCCTTACGCACCATCACGGCATCATTTTTCAAGGTCGCCGCGGCCTCGGCAATCCGGTCGAGGCGCAAAGGTCGGCGCGCGACTGAAGTTTTCTGAGGCAGAGATCGAAGGATTTGGACAAATGTTGACTTGGCCTCCATGAAGAACACTTCTTCCTGGGTGATGTCGAGCGCGGCTGTCAAATCATCGAGAGCAGTCTCCCATTTACTGAATAAAGGGACGGTAATTGTTCGGTTCTCCTTGCGGGGAACCTGAGGGGGAGCACCACCCAATTCTTGGAGCAGCACAGACAAGTGCGAGTATTGGTCCTGGGCAAGCGCTGAACTGTGTTTCTCTAGAAGACCATGCATGACGTACATTTCATTGAGAGTGATCTGGAGCTCAAGGTCGCGTTTCGACAAGGCAACATAGTTGTCCATTTCAAGACTCTCATAAAAATCCTGGACTTCACACAGATCAAGCAGGAACTTGTTGACACGCCCTTTGTTCTGCTGAATGAAGGGCTGCAGGCTGGCCATGTAAGGTTCCTTGGCATAGGAAGGTTTGTTTGCCAGGTTCTGAATCATCTTGGCGATCAGCGTCAGGGTCCGGCGAGGCTTTTCTGTGGGCGTGGCATCAATCAACATGTAGGAGCGAGGAGTAACTATTGCTGGGTTGATGAAGCGCAAAAAGAAGAAACCACCAATAAGAGTGCAGATAGTTTGGTCCTGGGCATCGGGATACTTTCTGCGGGAGAGACTGCGAATCTGCTTACAGATCCATCTAATCCCATACGGAGCCTCGTCTACCGAATCAATGATGGTTGTGATGAATCCGTTGGCGATATCCGTCAACATCTTCAAACGTGGGGCAATAATGGCCTGCACCTGGGCATTTTCAGCAGCATCTTCGGCAGTTACAGACCGGGCCAAGTAATCCGGAAGAGAACCGCTTTCTTCTTCGATCTGATTAACCATGCTCTCATACACCTTCAAGGGGTTGATCTCCAGATCCACGTCCCGCAATTCA